GGTTCTTAGGAGCGATCCTAGCGATTTGTGACATTACTTATTTCGCTTTTCACCTGCTAGTGAACTGCGAGCAAGAACCGGCGTTGGTGCTATACAAGTAGGGTGGGCACGCCGCATTTTTTGAACAGAAATGTATGTAAGTGGGACTGCTGCCCGCTACTATACTGTCACGAGAATCGGGGAATTCGTGAGCCAGGGGGAGTGTAGCCAATCTAGGGGGTGGGGGTGAGGGCAGTCACTTGACATGCGTGAAAAGTTGAGCGTGCCCACCCTACTTGTATAGAGCCGCGACGTTATGTCAATTCAATGAAGTTGAACATTGAACTCAACCTAAACTGCTAATTTCTTATACAAGCGTCATACGAACGATCCAAGGATATGCGACTAAACTCCACATGAAGATGACTTAAGGTTGACCAGGTTTTTACCTATCATCTCCAGCTTTGGTCAACTCTCCTGCCATGGCACACAAGACTTCGAACATGCCCGTGAATTTGGAATTTTTGAGATTTCTGAGCTCATTTTCAGCCTAGTCATGCCATCAATGTTTTGTCCCAGTATTTTGGCACTAAGAGCATAAACAAATTTTTGTTTGATATCGTTGGTTAATTGGCTCCCATTGGGAATTAGTTGGGTATTATATTTTGGAAAAAAAATTTATTACGAAAACAAAGGACATTATCAATGACAATTGTTGACCGTGTATGCGTCAGTTTCGAAAATGGAATGGATATTTCATCAACATCATCATCGTTCCTCGTCTTTCATGTGTAGAAATATGATTGAATGAAAGAAGAAGAGTACAACCAATAACACTCTTTATGCATGAAATTATTTTCCACGTACAAATGAGTGTCGATCCACAGTAACCGAGAGCAGCAAATTGATCGTGAACATTAGTTGATGTGAAGATCTGAAAAGCAGTGATTAATTGTGAATAAAGAAATTTATCTGAGAGCTTACTGTACCTTTTTTTACAAAAATTCTCGATAGTATTCTCATGACAGTCACAGTATTCATTTCAAATGACTTATACTAAAAAAAATACTATGCCGTTCAAAAAGGCGGCTGAACAGTACAGGGAACGCCAAAATTACCTGCTCAGATTTCCGCCCTTGCAAGAACTGTAAAACAATGAAATGAGTCCTTGTCTTGTAGTCGAAGTTTACGAATGAAATGCTATTACCAAATCCGGCTTCACATCTTGAATTGTCTCTTTCGGACCAAGCTTTAGCCTTTAGTCATGACGAAAGGTATTTATCGTGGCGCGTAGGTGCTCCAAACAGACTTCTCTTTAAGGCCGACGTCAGACTTTGCGAATCGCGCGATTCGCAAAGCCTGACATCGGCCTAAAGTAAAGCAGGTTCCTTATTTGGGCTGCGGCTGAGGTGGTGTTGTTATGAGCAAGGCCTTGCTCTCTAGAAAGCTCAACACAAAATATTCCACTCTGTTGAAGTAAGTACTTTTGATTGACCGTAATTGAGCGCTGGTGAGACCAGGCTGGTGTTCTCGCGTGCTGCGATGTCACCTTCGATCTACCAACTAGTGCTGCACCCTGCTGAAACACGAGCGGTCCGGATCCATTGTGGGATTCTGTCCAGGAAAGTGAGATGTTAGTCAGCACACCTTCCAGGTTAACCTCTGCTTTGGTTGGAGTATCCTCTTTGATAAAA